TATTTGCTTTGTAGATATCAAAACTTTTCGTACTAATTGGCATAAAAGGTATTGGAGACAGCGTACGACGCCTAGCATCTAAAATGTTCTGCGATCAATTGCTAACAGAATATTCCCTGTTGGGATTCAAAAAGAAAAAAAACTTTTCCCAACTACTTAGCTACCGTTTGTTAATTGGTAAATTCAAAACTAATATTTCTAATTTACTACTATTTCATTATTATATTAATAAATAGTTGTTTTATATTCTAAACCACGCTCTATTGTAAAAGTACACGGAGACGGAATATAGATAACGGATAGAAAATAGAAAACAAAAAAGTCTATCCAGTATCTACTATCTAAAATAAAAACRCACCGGGCGGCAGACAAAAATCGGCCGAAACTCGCGCATGCATCCCCACCACAGGCCCTGTATGATCGGCGGCCGCGGTGGCGATCGTGCCGTCGTCGATAGCCGATGAATGGCGATCAATCACAGAGACAGAGCGATTATACTATTTAGCATGACAAAATTTTGTCTTGCTATTTAGTATTTAGTATTTATAATCAGCTTGGGGGTTCGGACGTCGTTCCCGTATTTGTTTGCTTCAAATCGGTACGTTCTTATTCTGGACAGAGAATAGGTACTTTCTATTAAGAGGATGTGATACCCACATGTGTTGTCTCCGTCTTACAAGTGCAAAACTGTTTCGCGCGAGATTTACTCGTAACTAAGAAACCAAATTTTCACCATAAAAAAAAGAGAATTTTAATCATATTAAAATTCTATGAAACAATCGTCAAAAATTTCAAAACTATGTAGAATTATCCCACACTAGTGACATTGGACTGCATCATCGAGGTTTAGATAATGGAAGCCACACTGGGCCAATTTGTATTTGTTCTGACCCGTATTCGATGGAAATGTTTTGAACGTTGTTAACCTTGAAGAAAATGTAGTGAATTCTGGATAAGCTGGTGTTGTGTTGAATCGAATTTGGTCAACCAATGATTGGATATCGTTAGTACATTTTTGAAAATTCATTTTTAAAAATTATTAACTTTAAAAAATAAATTTAAATAAATTACTAGAAAATTGGGACTACAAAACACAACTTGTTCAAACAGTTAAATGTCAGTAACTGAATATAAAAAAACAAAAACACATACAGTGTAACCAACATTTAAAAAAATCGTAATACCCTGAAAGTGTTGACTGTGCACGAACAAATATAAGTTATCATGAAAAATTAATTAATACACATTTTCTCCTGGTGCACCATAGTCTGTTAGTCTGTTCACAATCGATAAAAACAAAAAGCGCCAAATAGTAGTCAATGAAAAGTCGTGGATAACCGTTTTAAAATCTCCCTGTAAATAAAAAAACTGGGATAGTAAGCACCCACAATTCTGGACGACCAAGGGGGAAAGTCGTGGATAACCGTTTTGAAATCTCCCTGTAAATGAAAAAAACTAGGATAGTAAGCACCCACAATTCTGGACGATCAAGGGGGAAAGTCGTGGATAACCGTTTTGAAATCTCCCTGTAAATGAAAAAACTAGGATAAAACCTACATATACTACCTATTGCCACTTGATTGGAAACTTATTTTGTATTGATATAAATTCATTATAACTTGAGTACAAAAACAAAACTGACTGTTTGTTATTTTTAACATTATAATAGCTTCTAAAAACTCCGTTTTCAAGCATATTTTTATAATAGTATCATTGGGCTTATACAATCCTCCACGGTCCTTTTGACTAAGCAACTTCCGACTTCTATTTGAATTACAATCAGATGTATGTATGTACAACATTTTCTTACAGTTTTCACAGTTAATTTTATTTTCAATTGCTCTACTCACTAAACCAGTGAATTGACTATTATAGTATTATAAGTATACTATTTAAGTCTATGATCATAGAACATTGTTTATATGTAAAAAAAATGTGTAACTCCAATTTTATCAATCAAGTAATTTAAAATTGTTTTATTACAAAGAATGTATTACAAAACAATTAGACTTTTATTTTAGTCTATTAAATATTTAAAAAACAAAATAAAACAATACCTTTTAGCTGGTAATCACCAAAAACAATTAAAATAAATGAAATCATAAATAACAAAATAATTAATTTTAAAATAAACTTAACTCTTAAAAATAAAACGAAACAAAATTTAAATTTATGGTAACAATATTGGTTCCTATCACAATATTATAGGCATATCACATTACTTTAGCAATTTCTAATTTTCATGTTCTTCGTATAAATCATTAACTGTATCTGATGTAGGAATATCAAACCAAAATTGGTGTCTATTCTTAGGCATTAGCGGGACTAGTGTTTTTATAATACTTTGTTTTTTTTTCTAGTTGAATTCCCCTTAATTCTTTCTTTTGCTGAGGTTTTTCAATATCTTTTTTCATGTATGATAGCTTTAAGAAGTCGAGCATTTGGTACGGAGTATACTCATCATATGAACATTTGTATGATAAATATTTCAGTCCTCTTTCGGCCCTTATATGAACTATACTATTCAACATTGGGTTATTAATTTGTTTGTTAAGTTTATACAAAGAGCATTCTGACTTCCAATCATAAAAATCTTTGCCATCTAATACCTTAACTTCAACATGGCCTTTATTTGAATTCTTTATTGATTTTTCATAATCACAAAAGTCATATATTTTACCCATATGTTTCATGGAAAGTTCAACCACGAGACAGACGTGTTGTATTAATTATAAATTATTACCTTATGATATTATTTAACATTTTTAAACTAAGCGTTTGATCGTATTATCATGATAACAAATGATAAGGATAAATACGGTGATGTCGAGACCATAATATATTCTTAACAATATCAGTTTGGTAAATTAAAAAATAATATTGAAAATAATCATTGTTTTTAATTAAAAAAATGTAACTAAACTTTTTGTCACGTACCTACATCCCCTTTTTTTCTAATGTATGAACATAAGACAAAACACGGTAACTTCATCGTTTTTCATGTGGTATACCGAGTTTTTGCTTAGTATTTGGATTTATCGTGTTTTCGCTTAGAAAACATCAAATATACTGAACTTACCGCATATTATCTTATTTTAAATTTCATTTTAAGATGGATTTTAGGAAATAGGCTATTTTTACATAAAAAATCGGTGTAAAACCACTAATTTTACATATAGGAACAAAAATATCATTTTTACGAAAAATGGAGTTATCCTGTTTTCGCTTAGCACGGCAGTACACCTGATCGACATAACACATACTGTTTATTTTGATTATTTGAATTGTATACTGTAATCCCTCGTTATCCACGGATTAAAAATCCGCGGTTTCGATTATCCACGGTTGGGTCGGCGATAACATTTTATTTATACATACGATGAAATTTTATCTTTATTATACCCATACTTATAACAGATAAGCTACATAATGTACWTACCTTAATATGTACGGTTAATTTGTTATATCTTAAAATTGTTCAGTTGTTGGTTGATATTAGTGCGTGACACGTTGTATGTAAATATTACTACATTTAATTTAATTTATATTTGTAATTAATTCAGTACCATACATACTTCATTTTAAATGGCTTTTCAACCTAACTTCCCGTTTCACGTTGCTTTATGGTCTCGTTATCCGCGGTTTCGATATCCGCGCAACTTTCCTCGAACCTAACCTCCGCGGATAACGAGGGATTACTGTATTATATATAATGATATGTAGATTAGGACGCTATCGCATGCCGCCCCATCGGCTATGCGATTATTATTTAACACGGCCGCCCAACGTCCAAGCAAGTCAGTTCATATACTATTCTATGGTCAGTTCGTCGCAAAGTGTCAACGCAGACGTGCAACAATTATTATTCTTCCTTCAAAAAAGTATTACATTATACGTGCGTGAATTGTTGTCTTTTATTATTAATTTGTGTGG